TCAAGTCTGCGCTGAAAGGGACCAGGTTCGAGTCCGTGGATGCAGTGAAAGCAAAAGCGACGCAACTCTTGAAGAGCATAACACAAGATGACCTGCAGCACTGCTTCCAACAGTGGAAAATTCGCATGGAGCGGTGTAGGGATCGGGGAGGGGACTACATTGAAGGGGATAACATTTCGACTGTCTGATTTTTTTTTAATAAAGGGTTAGAGCATGAATCCGGTTTCTTTATTGCCACACCTTGTATTATACATTTGTTGTCCCATTTTGAACTTCCCACAACAATTGTAATACATTTGAATTTTTCAAAAAAGTTTTCTGCCTCATCAGTTGATGCACTTATTACAGGACAAACCTATCTCCACCCTGAGGAATTCTTATGAACTAAATGTGTTAGATCGATACTGTGTGATGTCCTGAATGTTTATCGAATGGAAAGTTGATTCTCTTCAGGCATATTCCGACCAGTGCTGTTTCTAGATTGGAATTTGTACCCACAAGAAACCATGTTGAGAATCTATGACTTTGAGATGTGATGTTGACTCTGAGAAGTGTGTGTTATGAATTCCCCTTTGTTCTGTAAATATGCATCACGCAGTCTGGTTTTAGCAGCCAAGGCCAGTCGTGAGCAAGAAAGTGGCCAGCTGTGTTGTGTCATGGTAAACAGGAGATTGTATTTACTTCAAAGCGAATCAGAACATAGTTTTATCATTTTTGGAATTTGATGCTGAAAATGGACATTCATGCTTTTCTCGATTTACCACAGAATTGAGAAAAGTACGAATGTCCATTGGGAGAATAAGCAAAACTAAAAGGGACAAACGGAAAATTTCTGAATGTGATGATAATACACAGGAATAACTCAAGGAGAAGAATAGATCAAATGTCAATCAGAATTCAGTTAATTCAGGGGCTCTTTGTGAAATATGCTAATGCTGTGCTGGGTTGACATTCGTCTGACAAAACAGTGAACCATCTAAGAGAAAATAATTTTATAAGCAAGATTCTACCAACTGCAAAGAAATAAAGACCACAGAAATAGTGTGTTATGTGTCAAAGACTGTGTTACTGGTGTAACCTGGGACTCTGTGTGAAATATTTTCATGACTGACATACCCAGCTGAATTTCTAAGGTAATATGGTACTATTATTCCCAATTTTTTAGGTTTGCTGTGCCATAAAATAATTTGAAAGCAGTGTGGATCAATACACTGGTTCTATATACATTCCTGAGCATAGTGTGAAAATTAGGAAAACAAAACTAAGTTTTTCCAAATTGATTACACTTTAAGTGAAGTGTGGCATTTACTGTTTTAAATGTTTAAATATCCTTCATCCCAAAATTGAATATGAATAAATGTCCTCTGTTGTTGAAGGGTTAATTACCAGTCTGACTCCATGGTACCCAATACTATTAGTGCTAGTTCATCAAGTACGTGTGGGTACTTCTGATCCAGCTGTTGCTTCTTGGTCTCCATAATACTGTCAGTGGTATCTATATGAACCATGTGTGGGTGTTTCTTTCTCAGCTGTTGCAATTCCTTTCCACGTTACTCTTGATTCCTTGTTCCACTTCACTGTTCACAGACCTGTCTTCACTTTGGCACTTCTGTTAAAAGACAGCATTCTTTTGCAGTTTCATTAATCCTTGGTAGCATGTTGTTGTTATTATTGTTATTATCATCATTATTATTGTTATTATCATTATCATTATTATTATTATTATTATTATTATTATTAGAGGGGATGGGTTTCCCCATGCACTTAGACCAGTTATTGGTCCATTGTGCGTTCCCCTTTAATTTCTATTGTCGCCATACCCTACTGGTACTGGTGCGTGCTATCAGTCTCGTTCAACCAACAAGGTCGGCCCTCGGTACCTGATATTTCCCCCATCTACCAGAGGCATTGGAAACTACTTGGGCGGGAAATGTGTTGCCTAATTTTGCTCAGAGGTCTCCTAGAGACATGAGGATCTTTTACATGCCGTAAATCTACAACACGGGACCCACAGCTTAAACTCCCTCCTGGAGGACTTGTTCCTTGAATTTTACCGCCCTTAAAAATTCCACGACCTCCGCCGGGTTTGAACCCACGTACCTTGAGTCATGAGGTGGGAACGTTACCCCTAGACAATGGACTCTGCTGTGGTAGCATGTTACTCCTCTTTTGCGGGCTAATGACATTCAGCCATTCTTAGTCAGTGTGTGATGGTAATGTTGTAATAATAGCTGTTACAGAAATGTGTCTGTCAGTGTTTATATCAGAGGGCCACATTGCTGTATCATTGGCATTAACAATAGATCATGTTGTGACTGACAGAATGTACCTATGTTGCTCAATGGTGATCTAGATAATGGCCATTGTAATGCTTTGTTACCAGTTAAAGTGAGAGAGCAGTTCGGTATTTTAACAAAGTCTGATTTTATAGGCAACCTTTGCTGGAAACATTTCCTGTAACTAGCAGCAATACTTAGTGCATGTTACTCTGTCAAATTCTGTATCTTAACTTCTCATGTTACTGATGTTGAATTTTTTTATGAAGTTTATTTTTTAAAAATTAACTGTTGAAATTTCAGCAGGTTGTATGCCAGTTAGCTCACAGTGAAGTTGCTGTGGAACAAATAATTGAAATGATTTTGCTGGAAATTGAATCTCATTATTAGAATCTAGCCCATCCAGTAGTTTTGATAGTTGATAATTTTATGGCCAAATTTAAATATCAGATTCTGCATTTTAGGGTTTCCTGCCCTAATATCTCCTGCCTCTAGATAAAAACTTGACTGAGGGTGTCATTTTGCTTGTTGCAGTTACGAATTGTGTTCCTGTATTCACAGGACAGTGTAGAGACGCACCTGTTTGCTTGGTCGTAAAACTGGTGTGCGGCATACTGATGGTCTGGAACTGATGATGCGTACCACATCATCTTTTAAAATGGATACCCTTTTTTCTTATGTAAAGTATAAACTGTTGCATGGTCCCGATACATCCAGTGTGGGGAAGAAAACACCAATGAAATAGCACTCAAGTGGAATGCTTAAATTGTACATATTTGAATGAGAACAGAGTTTAAATGTGACTGGAGGGAAAGTGAACCACACGAATCAGGATGGTGGACTTTGTGACTTGTATGCTTGGACAAACCGAAGTGAATGCATGTGTTAAGCAGCCAGTATGAAAGTGTAGTAGCACACTGTTGCCAGTAGTGCTTGAATTTATCCATGCCGGGAATTGATGACCAATGCATTTAATTGTGTAGCCATAAATCATGTAACTCCCTATCACTGAACAAGAAGTAGGGGAAATTTTATGTTCCTTTGGAAGAAAATAATGTTGAGAAATTGTTTTTCAGAAAATCTTGTTTTTAAAAGAAAAGATGAAAGATTATTTTAAATTGTGTGTGTTTATATTGTTGCCTCATGTTCATAAGAATTTTTATCATTGTCACATGAAAAGAAATAGGCTCCATCAAAATTCATCTGAATGATGCCAGATATATTCATTTTTCTGTAATACCTATTGTAACTGTGGCCATAATGCTGTCTTCTGTATATGCATAGTTTGCATATGGAGTTGGGGAAAGTTTCTACAATTACTGTAATGATGTTATATAAGCAGTTTTTTGTACGTTTTTATTTTACCTAACTGGATAGTGAGGTTGCGGCTAGGTCCCCATAAAGATTATTGTTTAGTGAAAACAGATATTTTTGTTTTAAATTGTGTGACATCAATATTGTCTTTCAGTCAGCATTATATGACCAAAATGTTCTGTTCCATGTTTTCTCCTCTAGAAGCAATCAAATACTGGATCATGTTTCATGTTATGAATTATGTAAAGAAATTTGTAACCTTTTACCACTCTCGTTATTCCTTTATGATAAATGTCAGTGTGAGTACAACTTCAACCTTGTAGGCATGTAAATAGGAATATGTGTCGTGGTCAAGCAGTGATGGCACACTGTTGTCAGTAGTGCCACTTCTTGAAAGTGAGGTGTGCCATCTTAAATCAGATGTGTGAGGTTTGCATCAATATAGACTATCATTATTATTACTGATGTACATTAATTTGTAATGTTACTAATGTTCATGAATGTGTCTTTGGTTGTGTACAGAGTTGAAGGTGAAATTCAGGAAACTTTGAGAAAGTTCCCTGTGGAACGTAGTATAATGGCAAAAAATATTTGTTGCGATATTGCTGATTGGATTCAGTTGGCCCAGGATGTGGTCAGTAGTGTGCTTTTGTTTTGGACTCCGTAATACAGTTCAGCAGAATATTTTCATTTGCTTACAGAAAGAAAAACCACTGTGTTAAGACCAAGAGCTTGGGCAGTTATCTTTTGATGCAGATCTATATTTAGAAATTATTTCCTGCAGAAGAAAGCCACACATTGTAATGAAGCTAATGGCCTTATCTTGCAGAAGGGCATCAGTGAAGTGTTTCTCATTAGGGATAAAAGAGTTCAGTATCTGATTTAAGCTTAGATATATTTCTACAAAGGTACCAGTAATAGTAGTTTTTTTTCTGCGGGTACAGTCAACATTTCAGAAATAACAACTGCTGACAATTTCCCAGGATTGTATTCGTAAAAGAATACACTTTTTGTTTTCATTTTTTTCCGCGGTATCCAGGTTCTGAAATGGCTTTTGTTTGTGAGAATGCAATGTCAAGCAAAAACTAATGATAAGAAATTTCAGTGAAGTGTCTATAATTGATCATCGTGCGGTTCAGGTGTGCAAACATGGTCCTTTGGATTGTAATGCTATGTAGGGCCTCATATTTCAGAGGAAGATATCACCTCCATATTCAGGATCAGCAAGCTGATAGTTTCTTGCTTGGCTTACTCTTTGATTCTGAAAATGGAGGCATTGTGCTCCCCTGAAACATTGGGATCTGTTTGAGCTGTGAGGCATTACAACCTAGAAGACTGTACTGTTGAGTGTAACCATATGAGAACCCCAAATCCAACATTACATTGGTTGGCAGGTAGGGAAAACACATTTGAGTTTTTAGGATTATGATTTTAGAGGATGAGGTGCCATTCACTTCATGCAAGCATAAATTGTGCCCCCATAAAGGGGTACAGGCACAAGCTGTGGTCGTTGCTGATAACAGCACTCAGAAGGATTGCCTAGCATACATTTCTTCTCATATGCCTAACTGGGAGTTTGTTTCTGTCATTGTACTTTTGTTTCAAGATGCCTTATATTGTAAATTGGTGTTTGGGGCCAGTGTGAGTGGCATTAGATTGCTGAAACCATAGAAACGTTGAAATGTATTTTCTAAATTCCTTGCTTTTATAGTTACAAAATTTGAATTTTTATTAATTCAAGAATTGGTGCTAGTTTGAGCTGCTATGAATGTTCATTCCAGGAACAGAATGTAAAATCTCAGCAGATGAAGTGTGTTTGTACTGAATTTGATTCCTCCCCAGTCGGTAGTTCATGAGGAATGTCAGATACTCTGTGACGGACAAGTTTGGTGGAAAGTAAGTGGTGCCAGGCGGCTGAGGTCATGTCTTTTTAGTGCACTTGGGATGGAATCAAAAAGTTACATCAGAGGCTTAGTTAGTACCTACAGAACCTGAAAATGCCATGAATGGAGCATGGATTTAAATCCAACATGCTTTTTTTGTTTGTAATTATTGTTATACTTACTTACTTAAGGAGCTGAGTCCTTGTTGAGGAGAAGCCAAGTCTCCAGCTACTCAAGAATTTCCCAGCATTTTATGGAACCCAAAGGTTCATTGCTGTGTTCACAAGAGCCCTCCATTGGTCCCTATCCTGAGCCAGATCAATCCAATACCATCCCATCCTAGCTCTCTCAATATTGTCCACCCACCTACGCCTTGGTCTTCCCAGTGGTCTCTTCTTCTGGCTTTCCCACCAATATCCTGTATGCATTCCATTTCTCTCCCGTTCGTGCTACATGCCCTGCCCACCTCATCCTCCTTGACTTGATCATTCAGATTATACTTGGAGAAGAGTACAAGTTATGAAGCTCCTCATTAATTATTGTTATACATCTTCAGATTTTCTTGGCACGAATAATACCACCATGATTTCATGCTGCGGCCATAATTACTACAGTTAATGGAACATGCCAGTTAATCCACAGAGCAGTGAGTATATTCCTGGCCTGGTACCCCATCATCAGCCGAAACTGTGGTATTTAATAACTGTACAAAAATATGGTTGTAAACACAGTTACTATTCACTTATTATATAGAGCATTGTGCTGTTGCCATCCCGTATTTTTTAATGTAAGAATGTAATCTCAGTGATACAAAATTTGGCAGCAAACCCATGTTGGCTGCGTTTTAGTTCAGAGTACAGCATTGCAGCATGCATAGTGCGTGTCTTCTGCTGTACATAAGAGAGCAGGGGCAGTCTTCATGCTTGCATGCAGTGAGTTTGGTGCTCTGTACTATCACAGTTCAGAAGAGCACAATTGTAGAACTAACGTCCATGAGAACCTTGGATGATGTGTGTGTGAGTTTGCATGTAATGCAAAAAACGTTCTTTAACTGTTGTCAGGTTCTGTCTTGTGACCATCATTAGCAGTTCCACTTCTGAATTGTTGGATTTTTACATCAGAATGGAGGTTTTTTATTTCTGTACCCTTGAAAGAATTTCTGTCGGCCATGAATGTAATTTTTCTCAATTTTAGGTTCTTACAGTTCACCTCACAAGTTGTGAAACTACAAATAAATTAAGAAGTAAAAGTATTTGGGGGAAGGGGATCATTGAGAAAACTGAAGTTTTCATGGTGACTTTCCATTTGTATATAAATAATTAGCACTGGAAAATATACAGAATACAGTCTTCTAGGTAGTAAAGCTGCACAGTTCAGAAAGATTCTGACATTCTGGAGGAGCAGGTTGAGTCCATCTTCAGAGCCAAAGAGTAAGCCAAGGAAGAAACGGCATTAGTAGGCAGCAAGCTGAGCTGGGTTTGCGGTTTTTGTGGCACTGAGCATGAAGAGGTTGTAATGACTCAGACATATTAGAGGAACAAATCACTTCTATCTTCATGGATGAGCCACCCGCTTCTTTGCTGGTTTCTCGCATTGCTTACTCTTCACTACTGAAGATGAGGCTATATGTTCCTCGAAAATGTTGGGGCTGCCTCTGAACTACATGGTTTTACAAGTGAGAAGATGGTTCTCTTTGGTCACCACAGTAAGAAACTCATATCCAGTAAGGGAAGCTGTACATTTCTTCATATCTGTTTGTTAGTATGACATGAACCTTGAAACACTCGCAGATTGCTGTTTTATTTTGGCAACTAGAATTGATGATTTCATCACATACATCGCAGCAGTAAAACTGGCGGTGGAAAATACAGGATGACCATGAAGTCTTCATCTCATTACAGACATTCCAAAGACACAGAGTACAAGAGATATTGGGAAAGAATTTGCATTGCTTGAAAGAATGACACAAAAATTTCTAGCCCACAGGATGTTGGCACGGTACTTGGTTTTATGCCTCGTGTTTTCCAGCATCTGAGGTGTCACAGTGCAGAATTCACTTAAAATAGGAACATTTTTACATGACTCCAGGGGAGGAAATGCAGTGGGATATTGGGGCTGTGAGGAGACCAAGAGACTGTCCAGTCAAATTTATAGGTTTGGAAACCCTCTGTCAGGCCCCAGTGTGGAAGAGAGCCATCTAGTTGAAAATGTTTGGTTGAAGGCATATTATTTGTGGGACTGCAAATAACTTTAGCATATCCAGGTAATTTGTACTTGTCATTGCTTGCACTTGAAACAAGAAGGGTCTAACCACCCCATGAGAGAAAGGGTGTGCCACATGTTCAGTTTGGGACTATCCTGGTCATGCTTGGACTTGTATGTTGGTTGTGTGAACTTTAAATGCTGCAGCAGTGTCAGTTTACCACAGCGAACAGGTGAGGGGTTGACTTATCACTATGAATGAATCTGTTCGTGAAGGTGTTGTCATTGTCAGTATAGTCCATCATCTCTAGAGCAAATTCCTTTGTGTGTTAGGAATGCTTATAATGTGGTGAAGCTATCCTGTTTTTACCTGATATATTGTTGATAACTGGTTTAAAGAGGGGTGGTAAAGCTTTACAATTGTTAAGTAGTACACATACTCATAAGGGTTTGAAAATGTATAATTTTACGTTCATATTTGAAACAAGCCATGAATTTCATGAGAACAATTTAATGCTACAGATAGGAGCTTCTGCCTGCATTGGTTGCATGCAGTTTGAGGGTGCTTTAATGTGATGCTATAAAAACATGGAGTATCTTGTATTTCAGTTGTTGAAGTATGTTTCCTGTGCAGTGAGTGAGTGAGAGTGTGTGTGTGTTTTAGTTTGTACATATTGGATGTAGCTTCATGAATGTTTTTAATGACTTTGCAGTTTCTAATGATCAGAACCACTTGATGTGCATAGTTCTGAGGTGATTGCACACTGTATAAAGTTTGCTATCACTGTTAATTTTTAAAATCGTGTACTACACTGAAATATTTTTGTGTTATATGCTTGCAAGTGGGAACTGTTTGGATCTAGTCTGTCAATTGTAACAAAATGTATGGCCCAAAGGTCACAGAAACAAATTGTGTCAATCATGTGAAAGTGTGTGTTACAGTAAACCCTCACTAGTCTGGGTTATTTGGCGGGCGGGGAGGAGGTTATCCAGATTAATGAAGCAGTAGGTGGCAGATAAAAACCTAAGAACACAGATAGATGAAGAATTTAAGGATGTAAATAGTGAGGATGAAAGTAAATAAATATCACTCTTACAGCCTTTATTTAAAAACTATAAAAAGAAAGTACATTTATTCATTAATAAAAGACTCAGAAGTTGTACATATTTTTAAACATAATAATGCAGGTTTGAAGAAACTATTAAGTTTTGTTCGAATAGACAAATGATCCATCTGCCTACCTAAATGTCATATGTTATTTTAAATATGTACTGAACTGTGAACAGCATTTTTCATATTTGATCCAGATTAGCGAGGGTTTACTGCATTTTAATGTTATGAATTCATTAGGTGGTTTCCAGGCACATGATTACACAAACCAAAGACCATGTGGTTGGAAGACCTTATAAGAGCGCAGTAAAGCTGATGTCAGAATGAAGATGAGCTCTTTGATACAAGAAGTGAATTCCAATGTTTAATCAGGATGGTTTATCATGTCATTTTTATTACAGTTCTCTGTGTTTTGGATGGATGCTAAAATTTTCTGCCGCAATGTATTCTGTGTAACATTTATCACAAGGTTTTGTAGCTGTTTTTATGCCAGAAATGCAATAAGAATGAGATCCATTTTATGTTCCTCAGCAGTGGTAACATTTTGGATGCTCTTGGTAAATATCACACAGTGTGTATGTGTAAGAGGTACTATGCAGTGAGTATAGGAATGATAACATTAAAGGATCTTTCATGTGTTTTGTGGGTACTCTTTCCTCTGAATCCTGACAATTTTGTTATCAGCTGAATAGCCTATTAGAGCCAGTGTTGGTACTAAGGGAGATTGCTGCCTAAGTACTGGTACTGTGTAAGTGGGAAATGTCAACTGTAACCATCTGTGTTGGGTAGACTATTTTTTTTTTAGTTGGTTGGGGTGGGGTGAGACTGATTCCACTTGGTACATCGGCCATTAACTGGCCTGTTCTACCAGTCCCGGATGATAGATGAGTTGAAGCAGTCGGTGGAATGAGGATTGGCAAGGGAAACTGAAGTTCTTGGAGAAAACCTGCCCTAATGCCACTTTGTCCACCACAAATTCCACATGACCAGACCTGGGATCNGTACAATA